AGTACAATCAATGAGATTGAGATTTCTGATATTTAGTAGAGGCTCAATGAAATTTTGTTCTTCTATCAATGTCAGCTACTAAAACACTTGCCCCAAACAAGGACAACTACTGGATTATCCTATATCCCCATCCGTACTACAGTGTATACTAAGTAAGCAGCAACAGGGATGCTACGAGGGGACATACTGATGGCTTTCCATCCTGAGATTTAACCAAAGAGGATTTGCAGACTACAAGCTGGTGAGCTCAAAAGTAGAAGCTGATAATTCCATAATTCAGTGGGGCTGGCATACTGAGACAACCACAGAAAAGCAAAGTGAAAGCGGTCTGACATTGCCTAAAATGGGTCTGAATCTAAATTCTTTGATTAAGTTGGTAACTGACTAGAACAAAGACAGTTTACATCTTATCCTTTTGACATTCTCCAAATTTCTAAACATGGACAAAAGCAAAAATTGGCTCTTTCAATAAGGATTAAGACTAGAATAAAAGTTGCTAACGTATGTGTTGATCAAGTTAACAAGCCAAATGATCTTCTCATTTTTCTAGTTATGATGCAGGAAATAAACAAGTTTCAGAGTTCAGTGAAGTAATAAAAACAAAGTGAGTTTCAAGACAGCAGGAGAGAACAGAAAAAACAGTAACTAAACTAACAGTTCCACAAAACCACAAATATTATCTAGGATTTTAAAAACACTAGAAAGCAAGTAACTTTTGAAATTATTCCTACTAACTTTATATTAACAATAGTACACTGGGTTCTATATACCAGCCTCCTATTTAATGCAAACACGGGCACCACAACCAGCAACAAGCAGTCTAGGGAAATGTGCTTACTATATACAAAACATCAATATGTGAAGCAATGCATATGTTCCCTATTTAGATTTAGCTATTATATCATAAATATGTACAAATTTGTCAATTAAAAAAAATAGACATGGGGGCCAGGGATATAGCTTCATGGCACAAGTGCCTGCCTGGCAAGCACAACATCCTGAGTTAGAGTCTTGGTACAAAAAAATAAATAAAATAAAAATAAAAAAGGTATCAAGGAAACAGTTGAATTTCTACACTATCAGAAGCCAAGGGATAGAAAATTAAATTAGACTGGTAAACAAGAACCATAAATTGATTCTAATTCTGAAATAGAACCAAGAAGAGTCCATTTATAATGTCTAGCCTACAACTACCCTCAAATGATTTATGACATTGAAAATCAATGAAAGTGTCAGTTATTCTTGCTAAGTATCATTAATCTACCATGCTCTACTCTAAGGAATTCAGGAATCTACACAAAATTCTCATGGCAGAGGCCTTTAAAATACACAACATTAAAATTATTAATTTAGGGACCGGGCCATCTGTAGACTGCTGGGGGGAGAGAACAAGGCCTCACCAGGAGATGATCCCTGCCTAGAAACCAGCATCACGCACTGGGCTGCTGCCTGAGTGGGGACAGCCAGACCCAATCCTCTCCCTGTGAATCAGTGCCATTTGAGGACTGCGGGGTAGAGAAAAAATCAGGCCTCACCAGGAGGTGACCCCAGCCTGGCAAAGCATGTACTGCTGCCAGAGTGGAGACAGCCAGATCCAAGCCTCTGTCCATAAATCAGCACCATTCACAGATTGTGGGGGAGAGATTAAAACCTCACCAGTAAGCAATCCTCACCTGGAAACCACATCATTTTCATTGTTTTGTTGGGTTGGGTTTTATTCTCTTGTTTTGTTTGATTATGTTAAATCTGATGGCATAAGTACCTATTTAAAAGATTAGCAAGGTATATTATGGTAGCCATTTTGGATTTACTATTGGCTTGTTTTGAAGTCCTTTATAGCATTCATTGCTTTGTTTTTACTGTTTCTATTCCGTTCTGTTCAATTTTTATTATGTCCAAAGGTATCTGCAGCTATTGTGAAGACAACAAAGGGCATTATGGAACAATTACTGATTTTGTAAGGTTTTGAAGTCCTGTATCACTTATATTGGTTTATTTTGATTGGTTTTATTTTCTTTGGTTTTATCTTCTTTAAAATAAAAAAAAATGTAAAAATAATTCAGGGGCTGGTGATTTAAGTAGCACAAGCACCTGGCAAGTGTGAGGTGATGAGTTTGAATCCAGATATCCCCCCACCAAATTAATTTATAAAGGAAAAATCTGAAACATAAATCAAAATCATACAGTTTAGAAAAACAGCAGAAACAGAAGCTGAAGTTCAGGTGTAAGATTCATTGAAGTGATCATGTTGCTGAAATTCTCTCTCTCTCATAGGGCAACTACTATGATGCTTGAATAAAGCATTTTTAAAGCACAGGTTCATGGTTTTTTTCAGAATAAAACTTTTATGGAGAGGTCCCTAGTTCTCTCCTGAGGGGACACTTCTCCACTCCCACCCGGAGCAGTGCTTTCACCCTTTCACCTTCTCCCACTTGACTCGTTTAAGATACAGAAGCACAGCATGATGGCAAAAACAGGGAGTCCTCAATAGGAGACAAGGGATGAATAAAACAGATGCTCAATATAGGCTCAATGAACTACATTCAGCTGAACAAGTGGAAAAATTTGATCATTTGTTAGAGGAGAAAGTGCTAAAGGCTAACTAACCACCATTCTCTACCCAGGAAAAGAAAAAGTATTCACAAGTCCCAAGATGAGAGACACAGCCTCCAATAATAAACATATGTGATCCATGAGTCTTTGTGTAGCCCACTGTCCCACACATTCCTCTTGATTTCTCCTCCCCAGAATCTTGCTTTTCCCTGCTTTGAGCTGTGTTCTTTCCTTTCTTCCTTGGGAGAGGGGGGAGGTAATGGTTTTAAAGGAATGTGGTGGTGAACAATCACAGTCCCAACACTCCCCTACACCTTTCTATCCAGGAGGAGAAGATGCTGCTGAGGAAGGAATGCAAAAGTCTCTATCATTATCTCCGAGGTCCACCCCAATGTGGAGATTCTCAGGAAAGTGTGAAATTAGCTCAGCTTGTTAATCATGGTGCACAGTTGGACTCTGGCTACATGCTAAAAGGAGGAAAGAGGAAGCAAACTTCTGAAAATTAAACTGGATGAGAACCCTTTCCTCTGGGCAGGAAAGGTACTTTTAATTGACCTCTCACAGGACTGAAGGTTCACTCATGGCCTCGAGCCTTACTCCCTTGCAGATGAAAATAAGAAGACAGGGCGGCTACAGGCAACTCAACTCAGAAACCAAAAACAGCTCAAATAAACGCTGCAAAGTCCATTTGCCAGCAGCTTGCTAATAAGGAAGACTGTAGGCCTAGCTCTTGGTGCTTTTAATTTCTAAGAGGTGCTTTAACTCTCACTAGCTTTAAGAGTCTTGCAATGGCCATGGAAAAAATTTTTTCGTCAAGAACAGTCTATGGGGCTAGCAGTTCAGCTCAGTCGTAAAGGAAGATGTGTAAAGCTCTGGGTTTGATCTCCAGTAGGAGGGGAGGAAATCCTGATTCAACTGTGGCCAGGAAAGGTAGGGGACGATACAGGACATGGACAAACCCCATATAATTTTATGTCATACCCCTTATAGCAAAATATTGGCTTGGCTTCTACTCCCAAAGAAATTGTTACCCCCCTGTAGCACAGAAAAGAGAGGAATCTGAAGCCCACAAGGAAAATTATGGCAAAAGCATTTAATTTAGGCTCAGAAAACTAGAGGCATTCTTCATGGCATAACCATGAGCTGCTACTACAGGTCAAATGGCAACAGCAATAGCACACAAATATGGACAGAATAAAAATGAAAGGCAGCAGAGAGCTGCCTCTGAAATTAGTTGCACCTGTTCTATCAGGCTCTGACAGCCTGTAGATTTTGGTTGCCTCTTTCCCTGCAGCAGGATAAAATCTGACTCTTCCCTACCCACTTACTTTTCCTGAAGGGAAAATAGAGATCACTAAAGCTTACAGAAAATCCTTGTGGTCTGTAAAATGCTCTGCAAGCCTTATACAAAAGCTGCTATGTAAACTCAAAGGAATAAGTGAAAATGAAGTTCAGGTAAGAAAGACAAAAAGGAAGGCAGAACTAACTCAGCCCAGAAGTAAATAGCTACTGGGCCAACAAATGCAGACCAAGAAGTCCAATGTCATCAGTCATTAAGGAAGTGCAAAGCAAAACCAGCACCCATTAAGATGGTTTCTCTGAAAACAAAAAACTGGAAAGCGCGTGCTTTTTGGTGAAGATGCGGAGAAGCTAGAACCCATGTGCACTCCTGGTGAAATACCAACTATTATAACTGCCATGGGAAACAGTATGGGCGTTCCTTAAAAACTTACAAATAGAATCACTGTATGATCCAGCATATGGTGAAAGGATACTTTTGGGTGGATGCATACCCAAAAGAACTACAAGCAGGGTCTCAGGAAGTATTTCTATGCCCATGTTTATGGCAGTGTTACTCACAAGAGCCAAAGGGAGAAACAATGCAAATGACCACTCACAGGTGCACAGGTAAACTGTGCTATAAACACAGGAAGGAATACTACTCCACTGTAAATGGATGTTCTAACATGTGCTACAACATAGATGAACCTCGATAATGTTATGCTAAGTGAAATGAGCCAGATGCAAATGAAAAAGTGAATGATTCCACTTAAACAATGTGGACCTATCAAACTGAAAGAAATAAGAGAATGGTATGGGAAATGGGTTACAGAGTTTCAGTTTTACAAGGTGAGAAGAACTGCAGAGGTGGATGATGCTGACAGCTGCACAACAATGTGAAAATGTCCTTAATGCCTGTGAACAGCTCTTAGATGGCAAACCTCAAACTATGTGTATTTTACCACAACACAAAAAGTTGGAGGCCAAAAAACAGGTAAACAGCCTACTTTTTCTTTAAAATTAAAAAAAAAATCTTCCTGGGGAGGTAGGGCAAATAATTAAGAAGGGAAAACATGCTTTTAAGCTTTTCAAAACTCAAGTTTAGCTATAACACAATACAACACAGTACACACATGCACCCCCAGGAGCCACAGGAAGCTACTCACCTCACTGAGGTAAATAAAAAAAGAGCAGGTGGACCCATCCACTCCATAGTCTGCGTAGCAGGGATCCGAACGCCACATATCTTTCATCCACTGAAACGGACAAGAACAGAGAACATCTCTGAGCAGCCGGTTGCTGGTGTCCTTGCCCATCTCCTGACAGAGAGCTGGAGGGTAGGAAGGTTCACGTGAACAGCTCAAGATGCAGTCTAGAGACAGGGCAACTGAATTGTTGAGATGAGGTAAAGATGGCCAGCTGCTCAGCTTCCACACAATTCACAAACATACACTGGCTGGGTTAGGCCCAAGCAGAAGTGTGCAGAGGAAAGAGAGACCAGAGAAGCAAAGGCTAGAAGAGCTTCATCAAGACAAAGTACCTATGAGGATGCTCACACAGAACTATCTCTGGGTATCACAATTCCAGGAGATGCACCACAGTGCCAGGATGCAGAGGGTGTGGAGGGGGGTTTGAGTGCCCTGCAAGCATGGTAAGCATTTACAAACATCCCCAAACAAGATCAGATAGTGTTTCCAAGGGTGGTTTCACCATCCTGACTCAAAACTTTTGTCTAAATGTTCCTGGGCGAGCTGTGGTCTCCAGAGCAGGTCACACAAATAGAATTTTATTTTGTTCTTTTAATGTTGGGTTGGGGGTCAGTGGAGGGCCCACTTCTAACATACATGAGGCCCTGGGTTCAATCCCCAGCACCAAAAAAAAAAAAAAAAACAAGAGTGAAAGAGCAGTCAAATGTGTCTGGGTACTAAACTGGAAATGCATATGTGGCATTTAAAGGACAAACTGGTTTAAATAAGCACGAGCCTGGGGAAGAGGGAAGATGGGCCCTAAATAACAGCAGTCTCTCATCACTAGAACTTTAATGATTACCCATTGGAGGCTGGGAAAGAGAAGCAAAGGCAGTTTCAAAGACTCAGCAGTTGTGTGAAGTGGCCCGTGTTCCTACAGTATGACCCAGAAGAGCCGCTGTCCACTAACCCACGGAACAGGTATAGGTAGGAAAGGGTCCTCTTAGCCACAGCATAAAACTGACAAGATGGAGGATACCCTTAAAGGACTTGCTTCAAGGGCTCACTCACCCACTTGTATCATTGGGGGCCAGAAAGACTGAGGATGACAGAAATGAAGAAGCACTGCTTCCACCTTACCTTGATTTTCCCCTCGCAGTGGGGGTAGCCATCCATAGGAGGCAATACACATTTTTCTTGAGCTCCATTAATGATATCTGAAAAGAATGGAAAACAAAGGATTCCATGAGGTCCATAAAATATAAGCCTAACATCCTTGTAAGCAGAGAGGCAGGGAAAAAAAACCAAAACAAAAGTCTAGTCTGGCAGGCATGTTGTGATCCGTGGAATCACTCCAGTTCCACTGGCCTTCTGATTGGCCTATGGTAAGGACCTGATGAAGGACAGCGACCAACAGGATGAGCAGAGCCCAGTGCAAAGGGTGTGCTTGGGCAACCAGAGTGCTTTGATTAGAGACCTGCAACTAAGAAACAGAAAGCAAGTAAGCAGAGCAAGAAGTGCAGTCCTTTAGACTAGAAGGGCCCATCAGAGTTGGCGGGGCCATTCTAGGATCAGCTGTGGGCCATTCTAGGATCAGCTGTGAGCTGAGCTCATGTGCAGACTGCATGATGATGTGTACATGAGATCAAGAAGCCAACAGGAGCAAGACAAAGTGGAGTTCAGAGGATGCATGAGCCAAAAGACTTGCTGAGCTGTCCTGAGGAATCCAATTTTGCTTCTATAACATCTTCTTATAAATCTGATTAAGATTTGCAGGATGAGTTCTGTACTCCTTTAAATATTTCCTCACCATAAACCCGTTTTATATTAACTAGAGCAAGTGTAGACCTTTAACTACGAGTCAAAACTCAAAAGAATGCCTTTAAGAAGCTTAATTCTGATAGTGAATAACAGACACATGAACAAGTTAACAATGGTACAAGACATGATTCAGGACTGGACAAGGGAAGAATATTTAACTCTAAGAGTCAAAGGAAGCTTCCTGGATCTAGAGCCCCATTACCTGAGATGTGAAGATGAAGCAGGGATGCTTCTATGCTGCTGACTATGTAGAGCTTCCTTCAGAATTTCAAGAAATAAAAACATGTTTTCCCAAAGGTTGATACCTTGTTCTGTAACGGTCAGGACAGTAAATGTTTCTAGCTCTGTGGATCACAGCCTCTGTCACAAATACTCAACCTGGCTACAGTAAAAACAGAAATCATGAAGGAATGGGTGGGGCTGTGTTCTAATAAAACCTGACCTACAGAAATAACTGCTACTTCCTGAGCCTTCCAAAGTAAGGCGGCACCCTCATTTCTATGAATACCTGCCAAAATGGCTATTCTCAAGGACTCTTGCAGGCATTCTTCTCAGCCTCTCCCACCTTCTACCTTTTCTCTAATTACTTACAACCTTCTATTTATAACTCAACAAGGCATTCAGCTCCCTGAGGACAGAGTCCTTAGTCCTTCTTTCCCACAGGAAGTCAGGATTCAGTTAGCATTGGGCCTTGCCCTCCTCTGGGCTTCTGCACATTTGTCTCCCTGCCATAGTAAACAACCCATTTTCTTTGTATTTGTCCATCTTCCCCCATAGGACATAAGGAACCTGGAAGAAGGTCATGCCTTTGTTACAGACAAGTAAGTTAGACAGAAATAGTGTATACAGTCACACAGGTGTAGGTCCTTAAAGGAGCCAGTGTGGAAGACATTGCAAATGTATGAGAGACAGACACATTATATTGAAGACCAGACCTCAACACAAAAGATAAAACGAATGTATCCACATATTTCCCCTAAGAGTAAATATCCACATCCTCCAGGAAAAGCCCCTGGTCCGTTTCAAGCCTGCTTGCTATGTGTTTCCCAGTTGATCCCCATTTAATCAGTATTACCTGAGCAATTATGCCTGTAATCTTACCTTCTGACCACAGTTTTGTCCCCTACCTCATGCCCACCTTGTGATTTCCCATTTTCCTCCACCTCAGCCCTGCCACCTCACCTCTTAGTTTTGCTCTATAAAAATCTCTTGAAAAGACAGGTCTTCAGGATCACTTCTGTCTCACTCTCAAACAGAAGCTTTCTTTCCCAATAAATATATTCTATTCTTAACCTCTACTGTTCCAAGAATTCATTCTTCAGTTTTAGAGAACATGAACTCGTATAGGACAGCTAGCAGGTTGGGAGTTTTTTTCCCCTATCAGTTTCTTGTTGGATCACCAGACATTAAGTAAGCACTATTCAAAGGGGCACAGACATGCTTCTGCCTGCTCCTGATCTGACTCCTGGGATTGGGGACATCTAGATTGAGCAGAGATTCCTATGAAGCCAGGAGTTTTACTGGTAATCTGTTAGCCGATCAATCACACAATAAAACTGTACTCTATAATATAATATATTCTATCACCTTATAAATGAATTTCCTTGCCCAATATTTAGTTACACAAAGCTAGAGTTCAATAGATATTGGGCTTCCACACTTTCAAAGGTTTTGGTTTGATGGTGCTCTGGGCTGTGAAGCAGGATGTATCTGTGACCAGGAAAAACAGGCAGTCCTAACCTTCTGGCATGGGGCAGACCTGATGCTTGAGTCCAACTGGGCAAGCCTGGCCAAGACTCTCTGTCACTACACAGCTCACACATCTCCCAGAGGCTAGCTTCCCCAATCTCTGTTTGGTTAAACAGTATTTTCAGGTCAAAAGTTAACATTACTGCTTTCCAGAGAAGACTGCTGACTACACACAAGGTCCTTTCAAAAGAGGACAGATTCACCCCAGTTCTTGTGCCCTGCCAATTTGTTCAAACTGTGTGGACGTGTGGGGAGGTTAATGTATGCTCTTACAACTATTTAGGATTTCATTTCATACCTTATCCTCACAACCAGCCTAGACTGCAATATCTTTCACCCAAAACTCTACCACTGTATTAACTATGCAGAATTGTCAACACGGTATTAACACAAAAGGCAGATTACATAGGTGTGAAAATGCTGTTTTCACCAGTACGCACAACAGAGAATATACTCAATTTTGGGTTTAATCTAAGAGAACAAACACTTTTCCTGCTATCAGAAATGTTTCAGTTTAGGATAAAGAAACAATGCAGAGGCTGAACATACGAGAGTGGGAAGCTTCTGTCAGGTTTGGGACTGGGGTCTTCCCCTAATGGTTCACACAGATGTGCCTACATCAAGAGAGATGTGTATGTAGGGAGGAAACAGCACATTAAACACACACCAAAAAGTGACAGGCACAAAGCCATAAGGTATTAGATAGACTTTTACATTCATGTCTTACTCAGTCCAGTCACTGGGAACCTGCTGATCTCTGGGTTCTTGTTAGTTGGGTCTCTTAGTTAGCCCTGCAAGAGCTAATGTCATGTGGGAGGAGGGTTAGGCATAGCGAGACAGGCTCCCTCTGCTCCTGGAGGATAGGACTCAGGGTTGTGGCCCAAGGCATCACCTGCACCTGTTAAGGACTCCACAGATTTTTTTTCTCAAAGTAATGGACAAAGGCAACAAAGCAACAAAAAGTTTCTCTTGGATTCGCTGGCCCACAGTTTTGGACTGTGACAACACATAGTCAAGGGGACCAGATTAGACAAGAGGGCAATGAGCAGGAAGGGCAGCAGAGGGAGAAGAGCACTTTCTCCTGCTGGGAGAGGTGACACAGCCTATGCCTAAAGTGAGTAACTGATATCCATACTGTGTCTGATTAAAAAAAAAAAAAAGAGGCTTGTAATTTTACATGATCTTCATGAACTACATGTTCACTGCTCCAATACCTTTATAAATCAAATGCAAGATTTGCCAAGCACTGTACAATTCATCTTTTAAGTGCCCAATTCAACATAGACACTATTTTTAAAGCGTTATCTAGCAACTATATAGACAGCATCATAAAACACCACCTTCTGCATGCTTATTTAATGTTAATGATAACCACTTTGCACTGCTGAACAAAAGAGAGCTAGCCACAAGGTTACAAAATGAGTTTCAAAAATGAACAAAGAAAGCTAGGGATGCAGTTTTGTGGGGGAGCCCTTGCCTAACACTCCCAAGTCTCTGGACTCAATATTCAGCACCACACAACAATAAAAACTAAAATCAAGCAATAAAAGCAAAGGGAGGCTGCCAGTCAGGCTACAGCTTCAATCCTGATTCTATTTAGGCTTCTAGGTGACACCTGGCTGAAAACAACAAAATGGGAATGGGAAATGGGAATGGGGTGGGGAGTAGGAGGAGAGGAAACAGAAAGGGATATTCATCAGGGAGCCCCTCACAAAGGCACTTACTCAGTGAAAGCTGCCCTACCTGAAGAGAGTCCCTCTGTCTCTTTTCTGTGCATTGACTATAGAAAAGCTGATGAGTGTCTGAAATGGTACTTCTTTTTAAGAACTTACAGAACACAGTGCCACTGACTTTTTATCTAAAACCAAACAGACATAAGGTAAGGGTGTCTGATTCTCTTTCCATGATTATTATAAAGGGAAGAAAGGGGGGTGGGAGAGATGTGAGGTTCAGAAAACCTTTCTGAAACTGAAAAGGCATGACCCATCTCTTTCCAGTTTCAGGAGAGTAAGTTTAATCTTCTCATCCAGTTCCCAGTTGCCAACAGCTGGGATAACTATCTGCATGAGTCAGGGCTCTGTTCAGCCCAATGCAACCCCTCACATATTTCCTCCTCAAAGATAAGGGGTCTCCAGTGATTCTGTTTTGTGTATAGGACAAGGCAGCTTTTCTACCGGCACACCTGATACGAACACGCAGCCACATTTATCAGATGGCCCCAGCAGAGTGTGTTCATGTGAGCCACCCCAGCTCCAGTGCTGAGCCACAGCCAGGAACAGACTCAGTCTCCACGCTAGGTCTCCACGCTAGGTCTCTCGCTAGCATCCTTGTCAACCAACCTGGCTGCAGAAGCTAATAGCAACAAATTGGACGGAATAAGCCATGGTAAAATATAGTCTTCCATTAAAAATGACCTCACCAATAATTTGCAGCTTGGCAAATACTCATTTTAGGCTGTTTTACATTTGCGTGATGAAAAAGTGATCTAATTTCTATAACTGAATCATGTACAATATTCCAGGCAGAAGGCCCCATAGAAATAGGAACTGTTTTTCAACAAAGGGGCTGGGAAGCCAACATATGCTTAAATGGCTACACTCACTCACAGACCCCAGAATTGCACATAGGTTGATTATTCTGTGTCCAA